CTCCACGGGCGCTGGGGACGAGCGTGGTATTAACCGTTGCCTAATTATAATGTCTGCACAGTAGGTCTGGCGTTGACGCTTGGGATTTTGTTGAAATATATAAAACTTCACGGAGAATTGTCGCCTATGGCTTCTTGTTTGAATGTTGTAGTTAGACTTTACAGGTTGAATTTGAATTGAGAGGTTGATCTTGAATATACGTGAGGAGATTTAATCTATTTGTCAAATGTTCGTGGAAGCATTTGAATAAAAACATAGGTCTAGAATTCCTCGTCAGTATGAAAGTGGTAAAAGTGGGGTTAATGGAAAAAGGAGTCCAGTCCTATTGGCGGAAAAAGCAGTCCAGTCCAATTTGGGGGTGGAAAAAGCAGTCCGGTGGTTTCTACGAAATTCTACGAAAGACCATAGGTACAATTTTTTCTTGTGCCCTGGAAATTTCGTCAGTTGACCGCTTCATCTTTTGACTAATTATTATTTCTTATATGTAAGTAATAATCCGGAGGCATGATGATGACGATGATATGTAAGTTACAAACTGTAAGTTCCCATACAAACTCTAAGTACTCATAGAAAATCTAAGTACCCATACAAACTCTAAGTACTCATAGAAACTCGAAGTACTCATAGAAACTCGAAGTACTTATAGAAACTAGAAGTATCCATAGAAACTAGAAGTACACACACAAGAAAAAATTGTACCTATGGTCTTTCGTAGAATTTCGTAGAAACCACCGGACTGCTTTTTCCACCCCTAAATCGGACTGGACTGCTTTTTCCGCCAATCGGACTGGACTCCTTTTTCTTTTAACCCGGTAAAAGTGAGCAATGTATTAATCTTGTCCTGTAGTCTGTGTTGTAGTACTTGGAGGCCCGTCTTTGGATTTTTTCAAGTGAGGAAATGAGATCTGCGTACATTTGCATACTGAGACCATACAACTGAGCAGTACTCGAGTTTGCTTCTGACAAGGGTGAGATACAATTTTTTTTAATATTTGTATTTGAAGGGGCATTAAAACCAACGCATCTTTTTATAAAACCTAGAGCCGCGTTAGCTCTTGATATGATATCTTGAGCGAGAGAATTAAAAGTCAAATGCCCCGTAGCTAAGACTTCTAAATCGGTATATTCAGAAACAATCTCGAGGACAGTGTCACTAATTTTGTAGGTGAATTTGAGTGGATTTCTTGATCTACTTATAGTGAGTATTTTGCATTTTTCAGGATTAAAATTCATTGACCAGATATTACTCTAATTATACATACACTCAATGTATCTGTATCTGTATCTGTATAGCCGGTATAACCGCCTTTCGGCGTAACACACCAGCTTCGCAGGCACGCGGCGCGGCGGCAGCTGGTTATATTACACCGATCGACTTGTTACACCTAACCCTTGAACTTCTAGCTCTAGACATTGTTTAAAGCTATCTATTGACAGTGCCCCTACTGTACTTGGTGACAGTGAGTTCCACTCTGCGATAGTTCTAGGAAAGAATGAATTCTTGAACACCTCAATCCTTGGTTGATAACTCTGGTACTTGAATGCGTGGCTATTTCTTGTTCTCTTCTGGGCTGGTATTAGGTACTTAGTAGTTGGGACATCCACCAGTTTATTAGTCATTTTGTACATCATGCATAGTCTAGACATCTTTCTTCTGTCTTTCAATGTCTTTCTGAAGAGACACACAATCTATTAAAACAGTTGAAATTTGTTTGTAACATTTGGTGTCATCGGTGTTTTTGTGCTTTTTAATACTTGGCTCAAACGATTTCGCCAATGCCACGAATGGTCGTCTTTTATGCAAAGCGTTGGCAATTCGATAGAAATATTTCATGGTGAAGAACCTGTTTGTACTGTGAGTCATTGTTAGTACTTTTTCCCATGCTTCTTTTACTACCCCTTGGCCTTGTTCATATATGTTGTGTCTTTCGCGCCAACGAACACCTTTCCAAATGTTTTCTATAAAGTTTGTAATGATCTGTAATGATTCCAGCATGCTTACAGGAAATGTGTGGAAATGTGTGCCCCTCTATGATCTCCCTAAGGCCACACCAAGTAAATTTTATGGATGACGTCCTTTGGAGACCCTAAATCTAATGCGAGAGGGCGAAAAAAAACAAGAAGGGCCCTAAAAAACAAGATGCCTAGATTAGAAATATTCAAAGAGACGACAAATGTTAGGACACAAATTGAATGAGGTGACAGTGTAACAAGCAAGAAGTCTTTTATTTATCATCAAAACAGCAATAAATCAGGTGGAACAGTGGACAGTGAAAAATTTTCTGTTATTGACAGGATGGTCCTGTCAATAGATACTTTCTTCGCGTTATGGGTTTCACGGCAATCTGACGATTTGTGGCACTGTTGTGACCCTTTGGTCATAGTTACGGGAAGCGAAATTTCTTGTTTTTTTTTTCTAGGAAGAGGCCAAAATCAATGCGCGCGCGGACGCCATCCATGAAATTTACTTGGTGTGGCCTAACCTGGAACCCAGGCTTCTTTGCGCCTCTAACGGGCGTGCCGGTAGCGATCATGCATGAAAGCAGGCCAGAACTTTGGCAATTCGGGCAAACATCCTGTCCAAAAGGAATACATTTTCCGGCCCAGGTTAGCCATCGTTATTATATACTAAATTTTGCCTGATGGCTAAATTCTCCAGCTCAAAGTTAAACTACTAACGGGGGTGCCCTAATTCCGACCCATCACTAATACCGAACTAGTTTGAAAAAATCCTTGTTGTGGCGTTATGCATGGGAGCACGTGCCTAAAAATAACCACAAGAATGGACAATGTTTTTGTGTTGATATCGGTAATCTCACAAAGTTTGTTCGTACACTCCGACAACAGACGAGTGAAAAATCTGTGTGAATTCGACGCTTGTTCGGGGGTTGACGAGCGTGTCAAAAATGCAGGTTTTGCTTTTCAAACAGCCACTTTGGAGCAAGTCGCGTAATCGTAAAAAGATTACTTGTTTGGGACAGAAAAACAGTTGTAGATTGTTTTAGTCATAATTTGTGCATTATAATTTCTAAACTCTTTTCTCAGATCGACCTGTGTTAAACACTAGGTCGGAATTAGGGCACCCCTGTTGCGATAGAACGTTCCACCGGCAAAATGACCAAAAACCTGCCGTAAGTTTCGCGAACCATTACGCTTGGGTGCAAGCCGCTACACTCAAGTGAAATACACAGCTGTACAGCTTTAATCGTTGTAATCTTTATCTGCCGATATTATATCTCATGTTGCGCGGGTTTTTGGTCAGATAAACTATTGCCAAAGGTCTATGCGCTTGCATGGAACATAGGTCGGAATCAGGGCACCCCCCGTTATATTTTAGACTAATGTGTATCTTATTTTGAGGAGTTCACTTCGCAAGACCCACACTGTCCCCGCTGTACTTCTTTATGTCTTGCTGAGGAGTCTAGTGCAGGAGTGCCAGGGAGTCTTCAAACGCTCATACACCACGGCCAGAACACCCCCCAGAATACCCCCCACCCCCGAACCCGCCGTGATGAAGATCAGTGCGGGCAGGTCGTACCACTGCTGCGCGGTCCGCAGGATGTACCAGGCCGTTGCCATGGCGACGTTTCCGGCCAGGGTGAGGAAGGAGTTGGTCCAGAAGGTTCTGTTGTGGTCCATGGAGAACGTGACGCTGAACGTGTCCACGGCAGCGGACAGTACGGCCAGCAGGAACCCCATACAGTCCCGCGCGGAGGGTTCCGACCACAGCGTCACCGTTACCATGACGACCCACTGCGCGCCCAGCGGCAGC